AAGAACGGTAGGAAACAGGCCTTCATAAGGGAGATATGGATAAAAATTGGGTTAGTTTAAGGGAGGGTGGAGGGAAGGGTATACAAGGAACCTAGGGCATAAAGGGAAAGGAACTCAAGAGAGGTAGGACCATACAAGAAAGGTATTATTAAGGGAGAAAGGGGGGAAATGGGGGCACCTTAAGTGGGAAAACCATGATGGAGGGGTGACACAGTGCAAGAGACAAATAATGCCTAGCTAGTTTTGAAAACCAGACGGAACCATATTACTCCTACAACCTACTGACAAATTATACATAGCAGATCAAGAAATATATGTCTAGGTAAGGTATATCTGAGAACAATTTGTCTTTGCCCAAGATTTATCTACATGACACACAGTAATTTAAAGTACCAGATGGTTGGAACTAACCTTCTTGGATGTTTAACAGACATACTTTGAGGCCTATAATAATTTGGTCAAAGGGACATAAAGGACACTATTTGCTCCTTGCCTTCCTAAGTTGACTAGTTCCAGGGGACTATGAGCATTTCTCAAAATGTCCTATAATGGTGGTGGGTCACCGTCACCTGTCATCTTGATCAAGGAGGCCGAGGAGACCCCACCAGATAGACTTGAACCAGTGTCCAGTCTACAAAGAGGAGGGTCAACACAGAGGAATTATATCCTCCATGCTTCCAAGCGAAGCCAACCATGGTCAAGCAGGACCTCTGACTTATCTCTTCACATAGGCGGAACTGGTAAAAGAAAGGAGCCAGGGGCTCCTCCCAAGCCCATGTGACCCCTGAGGAACAGAGGTCAGGAACAGATCCTCAAACGACCTTGGTTTATCTGGGCCAACTGTATGACCTTAAACATCCAAAAGGAAAATATAACCAAAGATTAAAGGGGACAATATAATTGCCAGATAGGAGATACCTTCTTTTGAGTTTTTGGCCAAGATGGCCAAAGGGACTCCCAGATAGTAGCCCAGCATAGAACTGGGAAAACGAACAGCAGACCCCAAGCTTATCTAAAGGAATATTGACAACTGATTACTGCTGGATGAGGAACAGCTGACCTTCCTAAAACAAAGACCTCTAGATAGGCTGACTAGATTCACCAGAAGGGCAAGTAGTGGGGAATGGCTGGGGGTGCCGACAAGACAGCAGACAGTAGCAGGGATATCAGAGTATAAGGGTTCTAGTGGGGGGAGGGAGGCTATAGGAGGGTGCCATCTGGGAAGTGGGTGTATAGTTGAATAAGATAGTTTGGGATGTTTTGTGTGATACACACACACACAGAAAAAAATCAACAAATTTTAAAAAATGTATTATCAAATATAATAGGAGGAAGCATGGAAATTTATGTCACGCTAATTAGTAGAGGTGATAAACATTACCACTGAAATCTACCTGATGACTTTATAGACATACGCAGGCACCAAGGATACAAGTGCAGCTGATTATGACTAGTAATAGTCAGATACATACAGATTAGAGATGCCAGCG